GTAATTTTGGTACAACCATGATTAAGCGAATTTTAACCAAAAATATCCATTACACCCAATTTTTCCTCAAGACCTTTATGCTGAGATCAAGAAACACAAGCCATCTGTACGATTTGTTGAAGGTGATGCAGCTCGCTTTTATGAAGAATTATTGTCTAAACAATGTGAAGATCCTTGGTGGTTTGTAGAAGCGAAGTAGGAAATTGAGACAAGCATACTTATTGGTCTTTTCTGGATGAGTCCAGATCAAATTTTATTATAGTGTGAATTTGGAGATACAATAGGCCATGATAACACTGCAGTGACGAATTGATATAATATGCCATTATCAATCTTTGTAGTATTAGATAATAATATGCAATCTAGGATAGTTGCACAAGCATTAAGGAGCGATGAGACTACAGATTCATATGAATAGGTGCTGTACATGACTAAAAAAGCAATACAAGGCCAAACACCTAATGTAATTATAACTAATGGGGACCCTGCCATGGAACGTGCGATTATTATTGAGTATCCACTAGCACGTCACCTCCTTTGTATTTGGCATATAAAAGAGAATCTCAAAAAAGCACTTCGTAGAAAATTGGGTAATTTATTTGCAGATTTTTATTCTGCATTTTGGAAATGCCAAAATACTGAAACTCCTGATGCTTTCAATTATTACTGAAGAGAGATGGTTACAAATTATCCAACAGCATCAGAATATCTTGAAAGACAGTTGTATGAGCGATATAAAGCATAGGCACGTAGATTTACGATGATGCTAGTTACGCTTGGAATTGAGTCAACATTATTCATGAAAAGCCAGAATGCTTGTATAAAATGTGTTCTTGAAAACAATAACACCTTTCTTTGTGAACTTGGTAAGGTTATGATGAATCATGTTGAAGAATGGCTGAAACAAAAACAATATGAAGCTTGGACACGTGGTATTCCTTCAATATCAAATACTGTAACAGTCTTTCCAATTATTGAAGCACTTATTAGGTGTTATTTACGGCCAAATGTTATACAATATTTGCTTAATCAAATAAAAGAAAGCGTCTATTATATTGCATTATGTTCTAGTATTAAAGAGGTTGAAAATATGTCTATTAATGAGCCATCTCAGGATGAAGATCTAGAGGATGAATTGGATAGTGTATCTATATGTGCAAAATTTCTTTTACAACAATTAGACTATTCTAGCATTATTAAAATTTGGAATATTTCACGGGTTACGAGTCATAATATAAATCATATTGTGTTTTGTCTAAAAAATGGGTTATACTGTTGTACATGTTTATTTTAACAAAATAAAGGGCTTGTTTGCCGTCACTATTTTTATTTATTAAATATCACACAAACAGCATGATTTAATATAAGACTTATTGCTTCTAGATAGATTCCTAAAGAATCTCATCAGGATGTAGCAGTGGAAGATGATCATTTTGGGCAATGGTTTGTTGACAGTATTATAGAGAATAAGGAGAATATAAAAAACAA